TTTAAACCTTCCTACCCTGCCTGGGTTTGCCAGTGCCTCTGGGGGACTCTGCTGTTGGTCCCACTTGCAAGCTTAGGAATCATGGATTTTTGTTGTTGTTCTTGTTTGTTTGTTTGTTTGTTTGTTTCCTCACCACTATCCTAACAAGTTTCATTTTTGTCTTTGTTTTCTTTTGGTGGGGGTAGGCAGTGGTCAACTTGTCCATCTGCTTTCCAACTTCCGTAATTTGATTCCTGTGGTTTCCTTTCCTGTTGCCTCTGCATCTTCAAAAAAAAAAAAATCCCTTTTTTATGGGTTCAGGAAAGAGTGAAATTAGAGGGATGTGTTTAGTTCATCACCTTTACATGGAAGTTTCTCCTGGCTTTTTTTTTTTTTCTTGTAAGATACATTAAAAGAGTTCTGGATTATTACCACATTAAGGTAATAAAGAATTCTTTATTCCCGTCCCAAGACTAGGCTTAGCAACAATCGATATTATTCTTTCTGCTTCTAGCAGTTTCCCAAAAGAGGGATTATTTTTGAGCAGCTGAATGTCTGGGACCCCCTGCATTGAGGTGGCTCACCTGGCCTTGGGAAAGGGTCAGACAAGAAGAGTGTACCCAAAAGCCCCAGCCATAGTTTGTGGTCAAGACAGGGGCTGCTTCAACAGGGGAGGTGTTAAGACCTTTTATAATCTGCCCTGAGGTGGGAATGATGGGCTGAGGATTCCAATCACGTCTCCATTACCTTCTTTGTGGCTGGCTCCAGGGTTACCAACGAGCAAGCTGGAGAGAGCTGCATCTCACACGGAAATATTGCAGCCCTCTCTTACATGTATGCTTTGTCTGAGAAGGGTGAACATTGATCAGTGTGCTACTTTTGAGGAATACTAAATGGTCAACTGGTACAATTTGTCAGTGTCTATCAAAATGACCAAATCACTCACCCTTTGACTCCCTCTCCCTGATGAGAATTTGTCCTGAAGACATAGTTGTTCAGGTGCCAAATGACTTCTATGCAAGATTAATCATTGTGTTCATGAAAGCAAAAGATCAGAAATAACTAAAACCCACTGATGGGTAATGGTTACGTAAGATGGTGGGACATCTATTGATGGAATACTATGCAGCTTTAAACAAGAATTAGAGCAACTCTAGGAACTGATCTGAACAGATCTCTCGATTATAAAAAAAAAGCAAGGAGCAAAACAGTGTACATAACATGTTTTATGTATAAAATGAAGAAAAGAATATATAGGTGTGCTTGCTCGTATTCACATAAAGAAACTCTAGAAGAATAATAACAAGAGATGTGGATGGACATGAGAATAACGAATGGCGACAAAGTGGTTAAAAATAGAGGTAGGAAGAGGAACTGGTGCTGGATAGCTTTGTATTATTTGGCTTTGAGATCTCGTGAATTTTTGCACATTTGAAGAATTAATTTTAAGAGAGAAGATGAAAAATAGACAATAGTCCCAGTGTGCTACACTGGTCTGTTTCTCTCTAGAAAAGAAAACTTCGGGATAAGCGATGAGGGTGCTAAGACGGTGACAGTCAGGATGGCCAGGGTTTTGCTGTAGTAACAAGTAGCGCTCGAATCTCACAGGCTTGCCCCATTGAAATTTAAGTCTCGTTCCTTGGCCAAAGCAAGTCACATGACCCTGCCAAACAGCAGGAGTGCCAAGATGCAGCCCTGCCAAGTGCCCAGGTCAGGGGAGAGCAGCGATTACTTGGCACAGGGTAAAAAACAACCACAGGTTTACAGAGGGCAGTTTGAGTGAGGGCCTCCCGGAGCCCAGTCTGAATCCGGGGCTCCTGTTTTCCCTGCTCTGTAGTTAACACTGACCTCTCGAAGCTCAGTCTCAGCCTTCGCCCTCCTCCTGGCTCCCAGAGGGCATCTTCTCTGGGTCCAATAGCCTATTTTTACATCAGACCAGCCATTTTCGGGGCGATATGGT